GATTTAACAATTGTTATCTAAAATCTCCAAGGAATAATCAAATGCACTGCTAGCAAGATTTGAAAAATCATGAATCAAACCTATGTAAGCCTCTACATCTTTCTATAAGCAAATTCAAATTTGATGTTTTAACTAGACAGTTTGTTTATAAACAGAGATCTGAAGATGGAGAGAACAGATTTCCAGTTCCAGTAGTAGAATCTTTTGGTTTATGTACAGTACCTGAGTAACATTAAGTACAAGAAATTAATTCTATAGGATAACCCTAAAACATCCTCAACCCAATATTGTTGCCCTGTTTGAATGCGATATGTGAAAATCAGCAAGTAGTTGCGCATAAAAAAAAAATAATCAGGAAAAAGTTAAAAATACACTTGGACTTGTTTTTGGTATACCAATTCCAACTTCAGAAGCGAAAACTCTAGTATATCCAATTATATAAATACAGCTAGATAGGCATTTAAAAACCACCAAAACCTTGGCTGAAATACTTAGAGTTGATTAAGGTCTTGTTATGATTCTGCATTATTCTTTGTGTATTGTCCTGTACATTTTTTAAATGGTGTTTTATACCTACTGAATTTCACAAGGTGCTTGTCCATTTACACCAAGTCAAAGAGACAAGCTGATTCTGATTGGTCTTTTGTCGGAGAGGTTCAGTAAAATAAATAAAATTTTTTATGAACACTTTACAAAATAATTTTTTCTGAAAAACTTTTAAAGGAAGATTATAACTTTTAACAAGAAGATTGCTCTGATCGTCATCACTTCTTCGAAGTTCTGAGTCAAAGAAAGAATGTGCCATTCCAGCAGAATGTTTAGATATTTTTTGTGATTTTAAAAATATATATTTTTTATCTAACTAGTTGCTGTATTGATGATATGGGTTCTAAATAGATTTACTTTATTTGGAAAAAATATTAAAAAGGTGCATGCAAGTCTATGTATTTTTTTTTTCAGAGTAGAGATGTGACATGTTATTGTTGTAATAATATAATACTAAATTATTTCCAAATTGTTTCATAGTTTTTGTCTTTTTTTATATACAACTTATATATCAATTTATACAACTTCCAGCAAATATGTATATAAAAAAAATTCTGTTGGAATCATCTATTGTACTCAATAATCTTATAATTTTATCAATCTATATTTATAATTATTGCAAAGTTAACTTATTTATATTAAGTGAAGACCAGATTTAAATTTTCAAGGTTAGCAATTTTTCTGAAATTTGTCTAAGGAGAATTTGAATTTCAAATATTAAAACAAAAAACTAGATTTTTTAAGGCAAAAATTGGTCTACAAATTTTTATACATGCTGACTTCTATCAATGTTACAGATATATAAATTTTTGAAAATATTTTTATAGAATATAGATAATCAACTCAATAAATTTAAAATGCTAACTTACAAGACAAAACTTACCTCATGTTTACCACTTTTTTAAGAAAATAAAAAATTGATCAACCAAGAAAATTTACCCAGGTTTGCCCACCATGAAACTTTTTGCTTTTAAAAAAATTGTCTATAGAAATTGTTCTGAAGTAGTTTTGGCAAAAAAGGAAAAAAAAGTCAAACATGATGTATTTAAGTACAAACATAATGTATTTAAGTTCAAACATGATATATTTGAACTAAAATGTGGCTACCTGATAATATTCTGCTAAAATAACCATAAGTTACTTTATGTAGTTTTGTGTTCTGTTTACAATCTCTGATGCAGTATGAGTGAAGCAACTAACTAGTGACTCTAACTCTAAAACCTACTTTAATCACCTTAATCTCTATTATTATGTTAGATGTAATGTTTTTCCTAAAGCGTTTGCAAAAAACTTTCCATTATTGTTTTAAACTACTGCTTACAGGAAGTAATTTTGTTACCTACTCCAAGTTGCTAAGCTCCATTATTCCCAGTAATCTCAGAAGTTGGGCTTAGAAGTTAGATAGAGACTTGACGTGGAGCCGATGAGAAGGAAACAGCTTCTATTTCTGCTTGGATCCAGGAGGTTATATAGAAGGTGCATTTGTTAGCAAAGAGAGAAAAGACATCAGCCTAATGACCATCACAAAAAAATCACAAAACGAATCCCAGTCCTTAGAGTAGTAGTAAGTAGTGCAATGATAAGGTGGGTCTGAAGAAAAAGTACGAAATGAAAGATTTATAGAGATCATTTCATGGTTACAACCACCTAAAGTAGAAAAAGATAAAACTGAACATAATCTAGGGTCAAAGACAAGACACTAATCAAGGAATGAAGGTAAGTGATTAGGGTTGTCAGGGAAGCAAGTCACAAAGTTGTTTATCTGAGTAAGAGATTGAGAAATGCAGAAGGTGTGGGCTTTATTGCCAGCAGGGTAAGTGGTGTGAGAGCCAAGCCATTCATTCAAGCCAACCAATAACAACAATATTGGCAGAGAAGTAAAGAGAATGGGCATGGTCAATTTGATCAGAAATTACATCTAAAAGAGTGCAGTCTTAGGAAGAAGGAGAACAGTAAAGAACAAAGAGAAGGGTGATGGAGTGAAGGGGTACTAAGCATGTGACTATTAAACTTTAATAGTCATGCCAAGCATGTGACTATTAAAGTTTTGCTAATCAAAGGATAGTACCCATCAAGACTAAGATCTGAAGAAGAAATTTAAATAAGTTTCACTAAGAGCATGCAAGTCTGGTGATTTTAAGAAGAGATAAAATTCAACTGATGGAAGGTTACTTCGCATACCACAAATATTTATAAAAAATATATTAAAACAGTTAGGTGATGGGGATGGTTTTCTATGTTTAATATTTTGGGTTACTTTTGGCATGATTTAAATTTAAAGAGAACTTAACTCATTCATAGATAGAGCACAGCCTCCTAAGCAATGAGCTATGAAGTTGTCTCAGTCCTGTTAATTAACCTTAAGTTGTAACATAAGGCCCCATATGTGGCCTTGAGAATGTGCACCAAAAGCATTACCAAGAACAACATCTATGCTACTGTTAATACTCTGATATTTTGCAGTTGTTAATGGAATTAGCCTCTTTAAATTAAAAGCTACCACAGAGTTCGGAAAACCTTACTACAAGCCATCCTCAGAACCATTGAACTGAGTTTTAGAGCTGTACCCTTATTAGGAGATAATAGAATGAGTTGTATATTCATTAGTTGTATATGAGTAGAATCAAAAAGATCCAGCATTCATCATCCTAGATAGGAAACAATGTAACACAGGTTTACAACTTGCCAGTCTAATAGATGAAGAAGGGGTTCGAGACTGGTTAGCAGAATTATTCTGATTACCCATAAAGTCTTTGTCTAGTAGGCCTTCTATAAGACAGTAGCTGGATGCAGTTAACATCTGCTTAAGTTGAGTAATTTTTTTGAGACACCATCTCTAGCCCTTAGACATCATCTCTAGCTCAACCAGTTCTGAGTTATATGATACCAGTAGCAGGGTGATCATGATGATCCTGAACATGACCTGATGTGAAGTCCAACCAGGCTGCAAGCAGCCACTATTAGGTGGAAGTTATTGAAAGAGAAAAGATGATGTTTGTAGAGCAAGATAACGATTAACAGATAACTTAAAAGATTCCAAATTGTATGAATCAGGAAAGCAAAATAAAGAAAGCGAGTTCCAAAGAACTGATAACGAGCTAAGTGCCCGTTATAGTATTTGTAGAAAAAAGAAAGAGAAGCAACATTACAACAATGTCATAAAAGTTGGAGGCTGGCATCAAGAGCAAGTCTAACTATATTTGCAATGCGTTTTGGCACCTAGTCTAAAAGAGAGAAGGAAGATCCTTTTATACTACGATTGGAAAAGAAGGATTCAATAATCTTAAAGATGTTACCTGATACACCATAAGAAGAGAAGAGCAGCATGTCAAGCTTTATCAAAAGCTTTAGAAATGTCAAGAGTGATAGCCTTAACCTCTCAACCTCTATCTAATATACAATAAAACCTATCAGTTATTACTGTTAGCAAATCGGCTGTAGAATGAGAAGATCGAAATCCATATCGATGATTAGTAAGTTATTATTCAAGATAAGAGATTAAGTGTTTGTTAGTTAAAGATTTAAAAACATACATATAAAGTAAATTACTGGTGAGCTTATGCAGTAACTAAGGTACCTCCAACTATATAAAAGATACATACAAAAAAATAAACAAGTAAACAAATAAATTTAGAAAAAATATAAAAATTATTACTATAGGATGACCGATGACAGGAACTGATGACAGGAAGCACACTTCTTTCAGCCTTTGCTTAGAAAATGAATTCCACAAGGCAGTAGGACATTTAACAGGTTTCACTGGGTTACATATATGAAAGTAAAATTCTAATTTAAAAATAAAAAATATATAATAGTTGAAATGCTATAATAAATATTCATGTAGAACTAAATAACATAAATTAAAAATTATGATTTTGACAATAACATTAATAACAACATTTTTGTGACTTAACATGGAATTTAGAAAATATATTTAAATGTTGTTTGTATTCTTTTTTTAATTTTTAGAAGAGAATTCAGAGGAGAAAAAAAAACTGACCAAAAAACCTCTATTTCTAAAAGACTTTGAACGACAACGTTTATTATCGAAAAAAGAAAAAGCTTATTTAAGTGATAGCGATGAAGACATAAATAGTTTAGAAGAAAATCAATTGACATATAATGAAGAACAAAAACAGATAAAAGATAGGTATGCATATTTATTTATTACACACACACACACACACGCACGCACGCACGCACGCACGCACGCACGCACGCACACATATATGTATATATATATATATAACAAAAAACATTGTATACCAAGTTAATATAAATTCCAATGATCCTACTAACACTCCTGTCAATAAATTTTACATCAGTATAAATGAAACACTATTCAAAATTAGATATGCCAACTATATAAAATTATTTAACATTACTAAATGACACTGAACTATCAAAAGAATTTTGGAAATAAAATGGAAAGTAATTAAACAGTGCAATCCTTACAACTCTACCATGAAATTCTGCCAACTATTCATAATATAAAATTCTATTCTCCAAAAATCAAAATCTGTTAAAAAAAAAAAATTGAAATAGCATCTGCGTGCAGACATCAAAACAATATCTTCTCGCCCAATTCGACACGGGTGATTAAGCAACTTTGTAATTAAAAATTCTTTTGTTTTGACGTCAGAACTTATTCCATTGCTTTGTTGTTGTTTTTTCCTTTTTTTCTGTATTTTCTATTTTTTAAAAGTTAATTGCTGAAAGACATGAGACTTTAAGTAGCATCAGAAAGTTGTATTCTTTCAAATAGTCTAATACTATATATTTTAATACTCATCTATTTTGTAAACAATTTATATTTATGATATATTTATGTGTAATGATATTTATGTGTAAACATAGTTCTCTGTTTTAATTTCCTTTTGTAAATATATTCTTAATATGGTTTAAATTTGCATTAATATGAATTATTTAAATTGTTTCCTCTTCTTCCAGCTTTTCTTACGAAAATTAGAAATCTTTAATTCAGAAATTATTTTTTTTTTAAGATTTTTTTGAAATAATCTTTTTTTTTTTTTAAATTTATTATCTCAATAAAGGCCAATGTTATGAGATTTTGTTTGATTTTATTATATTTTGTTATGAGATTTTGTTGCTTAACAAGTGTAATTTAAGTTAATGTAACTTTACTTAATAATCATATTTACATCGTTAAAATTTACATTACATCACTTGCCTATTTTAATTTTACTGCATTGTAATATAAATTTAATTTGAAACCACATAAAAAATCATTTTAAGTCTTTGTTTATAAAATATTTATAAAATATTTTAAAATTAAACAATACTGTTATAAAAAAAAAATTATAAAAATTAAAATGTCGTTTGAAAAAAATTTTGTCATTTTAAAAAACTATTTATTTCTTAAAACATTTTTTATAAAACACACAACATTAATGCCATATATTTGCTTTCTCACGAATCAGTTTTTTTTAAAAAAAAAAAAAAGTTTTATAAGAAGTTTTTTGTAAACTGTTTATGGTTGAATTTCTGAACAATCAAAAAAAAGAAAAAGAAAAATTTATCAACAACTCATAAAAAAAAAAAAAAAAAAAAACTATCAGCAATAAACTAGTTAATCATTTCTAATCGTCGTTCATTCCATGATCAATCTAAAAAATTAATGATAAAGAAAAAGCTTTAGCTAAAAAACAATTTAAAAACTTAAAAAAAAAGTCATCTTTTCATAAAATTGTTGTATAAAGTTTTCTTAAAAATTCTCTAAATCAATTTTTTTCTGCAAACCTGATTATAGTTTATCCGGCATTTATATACAGTTATAAGTGCATTAAGCACTTTTTGTATATTAGCACTTTCTTAACAGGATGAAAAAATATTTATTTGAAACTATAACTAAATAAACAAAATAGTTTAAATATAAAATGAATATTTTTAAGTAACTTGAATTAAATTTATTAAAAAGAATTTTTTTTTTAACTAGTTTAAATATTTTAGCAGTAAAAAACAATTTAAACAGAACTTTTTGAGTTTTTTAAAAAATTTAAATTTAATAATATTTAATAATAAATTTAAATCAAATATAATAAAATAAATTTTAATTAAATATTTTTTGTAAAAAGAAAGTAGAAAAATTTATTTAACTTTCTATGTTTTTTATCTAAAAAAATATTATTTCACTATTGAGGTGAAAATGTTTTTACAACAATATTTAGGGTTGCCACCAAATCAGGGAAATAAAGGAATTCAGGGAAGGTCAGGAAAATTAAGATACGATCAGGGAAAAAAGATTGATTTAGTTAAAAGTAAATCTGGGAATTTTTTAATTTTGTACTATTTTTATTTTAATGTTTCAAATGTTTTATAGTAAAATAATATTCATTTTTTAGTTAACTAATTAAATAATTAGACAACTCAAAAAATTGTTCAAATATATTATATTTGATCATTAAAAATAATAAAATAAAATACTCTTAGGTATAAATGGTACTTGGTTGAAGATGTTGTAATTGTATCACTAGCAGTTCCAGGTGTAACTAATAAAGAGACATTTCTAATGGTACAGAAACTTATTAATTATCTCTATCCCAGGCCATCCCGAAAAGGTCTTCCATGAGGGGGGAGGGGATTTGTATTTTTTTCCCAACTAAAAACACCAAAAAATAAAAAATAAAAAAAAAGGTGTGTATTTTGTGTATATTTTTTGATCAGTAAAAGGACATTAGCTCGTTTTAATTTTGATCAATAAATGAGATTACAAAAGCGACTATTATTCATATCAATTATAGTACCATTTATACCTAAGAGTAAGTCATTTGGTCATGGAAGGTCAGGTCAGGTTTTCCTGCTACTGGTAACATGTAACCCAGTACAACCTGCTCCATGTCCTGCTGCCTTGTAGGATACGCTTTTTTAGGCAAAGGCTAGGAGAAGTTAACTCCGAATTAAAACATTCCTCATCTATTAGGCTGGCGCAGATGTATTTTTAATACATTGTTTCCAGTTTAGGATGTTGAACGCTGGATCTTCTTGACTCAATGCGTGGGTATTGCTTGTGTCTCTATTTTTATGACTGGGCAACTCATTCTATTATCTCCTAATGAGGGTACAGCTCTAAAACTCAGTTTTATGGTTCTGAGGCCGGCTGGTAGTCAGGTTTCCCGAACTCTGTGGTAGCTCTCAGAGAGGCTGATTCCATCAACAGCCGAAAAATATCAGAGTACTAACAGTGCCATGTTGCGCATGGATGGTGTCCCTGTTTGTACTTTTGGTGTGCATTGCAGAGGCCACATTTGGAGCCCTTTGCTACGGCTTAGGGTTTATTAATAGTAATGAGGCTATTGCTTAGTTGTTAAATAGTGTACTGAGTACTATCTATACTTGAGTCAAGTTCTTTATAAATTTAAAATGACTAAAGTACCTAAAACTAATAAACACAAAAAACCATCGTCATCACCAAGTTCTCTAAACCTATCATTTACTAATATTCGTGGTCTTCGAAGTAACTTTTCTTCTGTTGAGTCTTATCTCTTGCAAAGTTCACCAGACCTACTTGCTCTTTGTGAGACTAATTTGAGTTCGGCTGTCCCATCTTGTGATCTTAGTGTTGATGGTTATCTTCCTTTAATTCGTAAAGACTCCAATAATCACATGCTTGGCCTGGGCATCTACATTCGTAAGAACTCACCCATTTGTCGTGAAACTAGGTTTGAATCTCCAGACTATTCATTTATGTGCTTTCGTTTAGCACAACTTCACTCTATGGCCTTTCTCTTTGTTCTATATCGCTCTCCTTCATCCCAAGATTGCACTATTCTTGATGTTATTTCTGATCAAATTGACCAAGCCCTCTCTCTTTATCCATCGGCCAATATCGTCGTTGTTGGTGACTTTAATGCCCATCACACCGATTGGCTTGGCTCTAGTGTCAGTGACTCTGCTGGCGTTAAGGCCCTCAACTTTTGCCTTTCTCAATCTCTAACTCAAATAGTCAACTTTCCAACTCGTTTTCCAGACAACTCTAATCATTTACCTTCTCTACTCGACTTATGTCTTGTTTTGGATCCTAGTCAGTGCTCAATTTCTCCACATTCACCCTTAGGTACTTCTGATCACGGTTTGATCTCTCTAAAACTATTATCAAATTCTTCTACTTCATCAGAATCCCCCTATCATCGTACCACATACAACTACCTTAAAGCTGACTGGGACTCTTTCTGTGATTTTCTTCGTGATGGCCCTTGGGTAGAAATCTTTCGTCTTCCTGCTGACAAATGTGCTTCTTACATAACTTCGTGGATTCAGGCTGGCATGGAATCTTTTATTCCCTCTCGACGATTCCAGGTCAAGCCTCACTCTTCTCCTTGGTTTTCCTCACATTGCGCTGCAGCAATTTCTAATCGAAACCGTTACTTCCATATTTATCAGCAAAACAATTCTCCAGAAAACAGACATCTGTTCACTATCGCCAGAAACCATTGTAAAAAGGTTTTGTCTGACGCCAAAGCTCGCTATTCCCAGGTCATTAAATCTCGTATCTCATCACAAAAATTAGGCTCTCGAGACTTCTGGAGAATCTTTAACAGTATCAATAATAAGGGCAAATCTGTTATTCCTTCTCTCTTGTATGGTTCAGACTTTGTCACCTCACCTAAAGACAAAGCTGAATTGTTTGCAAAGAACTTTTCATCAATATCATCTCTTGATTCCACTAGTTGCGTTTTACCTGACATAGCCGTCAAACAGGTTGATCCCTTGCTTGACATTCGCATCACTTCAGCTTCTGTATCTAAAGTAATTTCCTGCTTAGACTCTTCAACAGCTTGTGGTCCTGACAACATTCCTGTTGTAGTCTTGCAGAGGTGTTCTCCGGAGCTTTCATCCATACTTTCTAAACTATTTAACAAGTGCTTATCAGAGTCTTGTTTTCCATCATGCTGGAAAGCAGCATCTGTTATCCCTATTTTTAAAAATTCTGGAGAGCGATCTGATTCATCTAACTACCGCCCCATTAGTCTTCATCCTGTCATAAGCAAAGTTTTTGAATCTTTAATCAACAAACACTTAATCTCTCATCTTGAATCAAATAACTTACTTTCTGATCATCAATATGGATTTCGGTCTTCACGTTCTACAGCTGATGTGTTTTACCGTGGATTAGATAGAGGTGGAGTGGTTAAGGCTATCGCACTTGACATTTCTAAAGCTTTTGATAAAGTTTGGCATGCTGGTCTTCTCCATAAGCTTTCTTCTTATGGTGTAGCTGGTAACGTCTTTAAGATTATTGAGTCCTTTCTTTCCAATCGTAGTATAAAAGTTGTCCTTGATGGACAACACTCTTCTTCACATCCTGTAACTTCAGGGGTTCCTCAAGGTTCAATCCTTGGCCCTATACTCTTTTTAATTTACATTAACGATCTTCCAGATATTCTCACATCTAAGGTGGCATTATTCGCTGACGACACTACCATTTACTCTTGTCATGATAAGAAGCCTACACTCTCTGATTGCTTGGAGGGGGTATCTGAGCTTGAAAAGGATCTCACTTCTGCTACAGCATGGGGCTCACAGTGGCTGGTGAACTTTAATTCAGATAAAACTCAATTTTATTTGGCCAATCGTTATCGTAATAATTTAGATCTTCCTATATTTATGAATGGTAATGTACTAGATGAGTCATCTACCATTCATCTTCTAGGATTAACTCTTACTTCTGATCTTTCTTTTAAACCGTATATCAAATCCATTGCAAAATTAGCATCTGCTAAGGTTGCATCTCTTTATCGAGCTCGACACTTTCTTACTCCAGATTCTATTCTCTATCTCTATAAATCTCAAATCCGTCCCTGTATGGAATACTGTTGCCACATCTGGGGCGGATCTTCTAATGATGCTCTTTCTCTTTTAGACAAGGTGCAAAAACGAATTGTAAACATAGTTGGACCTGCTCTGGCAGCCAATCTCCAACCTTTGTCACATCGTCGTAATGTTGCTTCTCTTTCTCTTTTCTACAAATACTATAATGGGCACTGCTCTAAAGAGCTAGCGTCCCTTGTGCCATCTACTAAAATTCATTCTCGTGTTACTCCCCATTCAATTAAGTCTCATCCTTTTTCTGTGACTGTTCCTAAGTGCTTCAAAAACTCTTATTCTTCTAGTTTATTTCCTCGAAGATCAGTTCTTTGGAATTCGCTTCCTTCATCTTGCTTTCCTGATTCATATAATTTGCAATCTTTTAAGTCATCAGTCAATCGTTATCTTGCTCTACAGTTTTAGTCTTTTCTCTTCCAGTAACTTCCAACTCTTATAGTGGTTGCTTGCAGCCTTGTTGGAAGTGAAGATGTTAAAAAAAAAAAAAAAAAAAAAAATTTATTTAAAGTACAAATCAAATTAAAAGTTTATACCAAAACATTTTATGTAGGTTTGAGTGGAACCATTATTAATAATTTAATGAATTTATTAAGTGCTTTTTTGTGTAGAAATAGCTGCAACAAGTGAAAAATTTCAAAGTTTCTTTTAACCATATTGTATTTTTATTCTCTTTTTTTAGAATAAATAAAAATTTAAATTTTTTAAATGACAGTTTATTTAACTTAAGAATGTCCATTGTTTAAAAAATGGCTGGTAAATGGCACAGATAGTCAGTCGAGTGCAAAACATGCTAAGTTCAAATTCAACTTATCAAATATATATCAGAGAACTGTGACAAGTCACTTGAGGGGAGAGCATGTTCAGAAAGTCAAAACCAGTATCCTGTTACTTCAAACCTGCACAGTCTACATTTGAAAATTAAGGAGTTCTTATAGAAAATCAATTTGATAAAACTTTTTCAGAAATCTCTTTTGCATGCAGTACAAAACAATAAGTAGCTGGAAAAAATTTTGAGTAAAGTATGAATTATGAAATGCAAATTATTGCCTAGTTATTAAAAATATTTTAAATGTTGGTTATTCTTTTGAGCTTTTTAATATTTATATTCAATTCTTTTGAGCTTTTTAATATTTATATTTAATTCTTTTGAGCTTTTCAATATTTATATTTAATTCTTTTGAGCTTTTTAATATTTATAAAATATTTATATTTAGCATTAGTTTTTATATTTGTTTCAAAGACCAATTTGCTAATTTCAACTGTTTTTTAAAAGGGTAGAAAATATTTAATCTTTTTTTTTTTTTTATCAAACAAGTTATTGGTTTTCCATTTAACTGATAAATATTTGTTATATATAGAAAGCAGGCTATCTGTTTTTTTTGGGGGGCGTGTTTGGGGGTTAATGTCGAAGTTTTAATGCTAAGTTATTGAGTAAAAATAAAAATGTCAAGGGAATACTGTTTTAAAAGACTGTTTAAATAATTTAATTAAAAAAAGTTTTGGCGTATGCATAGGTGAAATCACCATTTCGTAAAATTTAAATTTAAAGGGATTCCAAACTCGTAACACATGTTGTGTTCATAATAAAGATAATGTTAAAAAAAAAGGTTTGAACTAAGTTTTTTTGTTTAAAAATAAATAATGAATACATACCAAGAAAAACTAATGTTGTTGTTTTAGCTGAAGCTCGCCTTCTCCATTTTTTTCAATAACTCGGAGTCTTTAAATTATATTTCGAATCTACAGACTTTAGCGATTCCTTTGAAGCGCGTTTAATTCATAAAAGTTTTAGTATTTGACGTCATGATAGATTTTTAACAAAAGAAAAGTGTAATTAAACAAACTGCGTTTTTCTATTTTGATTCAAAAAAAAAATTTTTTAACATACAGCAAAACAACTTTTACAACAAATTTTTGTAAAAATCAAAAATAAAAGCTTTTTATTTCATAAGAGGAACTTTTTCTTTACCGATATCTTAATAATTTTTAGATTTATATATCTTACTTATATATTTTTTGTTTTTTAATTAAAACAAATATTAAAGCGTTACTTACAAATCATGATTTTCATACAAGTGTTTTACATTATATAGAACGTTATGTATATGGTCTCTCGTTTTTATGCAAGAGAGCGCAGTATTATATATTCTGAATCTTACTTATTTTTATTTAAACAATGGGAACTTTTTTCTAACTTCTGGTTATTTTTAAGCTATGATATTTTTTGTTTTCCCGTCGAAAAAAAGTATTTATTAACAATTAATTTCATAAACTGACAGTATTAATTAAAGATATTTGATGAATTGTTAACTTTTTTTATTGTTAAAATTTTTTGATTACGCTGATTTATTTTAAATTGCTAAATTTGCTGAACTGGATACGGATAAAAAGGAAATATCATTTTATTTTACATTTGATTTTTGATAATGAAACTTTTAAAATGTTGGCAACTCCATACCAATAAGAACCTGTTTGAATTTGTATCGTATTTGGCATTTGCCTCTTAACATGAAAAATTAAAAAAATTTTAAAACACAACAAATACATATTTTCAAGCAATTGTCTCTTTCAATTCCCATTCAAAGAAAAGTTACTATTAAACTTTTTATTCTCTTATCCAAAAAAAGTACGAGTGACGCAAAAAAAAAAAAAAAAAAAATTCTATACAACTCTTATTCATTCGAAGTTAAATTACGCGAAACTTAACATAAATTTATACTTAGAGATAAAACTAAGTTAGAAATAAAGCAAGTTTTTATCAGAGTCTTGATTGAGATAATATTCATAATTTATAAACATTAAATATATGGCGCAATAACAATTTATAGCAAGAAACCAGCATAAAATGTTTGAGGTTTTTAATATCTTTTTAAATGTTAAAAATAGAAAAGAAAAAAAACTTAACAAATAATCATAAAAAGTTTGAGTAAAAATAAATAAAAATATTTCCAGAGTTTCATTTGTTAAAAGTCTACCGTGACGTCAAATACTAAAACTTATGAATTAAACGTGCTTCAAAGGAATCGCTAAAGTCTGTAGATTGCGGCGTATAATTTAAAGACTCCGAGTTATTGAAAAAAATGGAGAAGGCAAGCTTCAGCTAAAACAACAACGTTAGTTTTTCTCGGTATGTATTCATTATTTATTTTTAATCAAAAAAAACTTAGTTCAAACCTTTTTTTTTAACATTATCTTTAATATGAACACAACATGTGTTGGGAGTTTGGGATCCCTTTAAACACTTCTTAACCTGTAATCTAGTTTTAATTTTTTAACTATTTAGTTTATTTTTTATATTGACTTTTTTTTTTTTTTGTAACATACCAAAATTTATTTCAAATATTGTTGCAAGTATTACAAATTAAGTCAGTGTTATACAAAAGAGTGCAAAAAATAAAAAGATATCCAAACATTGTATTTATTATTATAAATACATTTCTTTTTTTATTTTATATATATATATATATATATATATATATATATATAAATATATATATATATATATATATATATATATATTTACTAAAGTTCATCAAATTTAAATTTTAAATATATTCAATACCTAGAACATAAATGCTAAATTTAAAGGTTTTTGTCTTGATGAGATTTTTACATCATCTGGTGATTCTTGCAACTTATGTTTAATTTTTTTAGCTTTAAAAATGTTGACATAGAGGACGATGAGGAGTTACTTAAAATTCGGGAAAAAAGCAAAGATGAAAAAGAAAAAGAAGACGAGGAGTATAAAAAATGGTTAAATAAAGAAGAGGAAAAGCAAGTAAAATCAAATGTATGATTATTTCAAATTATATATAATAATCAATTTATTTGATAAAATGTTATTAGGGGCCAATCAATTTCAATTTATTTCTACCAGAAAAAAAAAGTTTTTATTTCTATTAAATTGGTTTTTTATTTGATTATATTTCCTCCTCACAACATCTTTTAATTGATCATGAAAACAAAACTAAAAAAATTTTGTTTTGGTTTGACTTAATAATTTTTTGGTATTAATCAAATTCAGTAAGATTAAAATGTTTACTGATTAAAATGTTAACTGATTTAAATATCGTGCTTTTAACACTTTTTTTTAAAAACTTTAAATCTTTAAGTTTTGAAATTGGTAAAATTATGACAAAAGTGTTAAACTCTTTAATGAACTCAAAACAAAGCCTGAAAATTTTTAGAATTGAAACTTATTATCCTGAACATATGGGAAATTTTGTGAGAAAAATGTTTCAGTATATAATAACTTTTAGTAACAGACTTTTTTTAACTTATAACTTTAATAGTTCTTGAAATCGGCCGATCACTGATCCTTTATTTCACCGATCCTTTAGTTTTCTGTGTTTAAACTGATAGTTCAAATTTCTTTACTGTGATACTTTAGTGTGGAGTCCTGAAATTTATAATTTTTTAGAGAAAAATATTGTTCTGAGTTTCTATAAGTTATAAGTTGAATTTGAAAAAGATTGTATAAATTTTGTATAAATAGTTAACTTTTTAGCTTTTACTTGATGAATATTGGAAAGATGGGAAAATAGACGAAGATGAAAAGTTTTTACGTGATTACATCCTAAAGAAACAGTATATAGATAAAGATAACGATAGGTATCATTATAAAGTTTTTTAATGTTAGATTTCTGATTTTTATGTATACAAATATATATATATATATATATATATATATATATATATATATATATATATATATATATATATATATATATATATAATATATAAGCATTTATATTTATATAAGATTAGTCTAATAATCAGGTAAATTTTCCATAAAAACCAATTAAAATTATTTATTTGTTGTTTTAAAACTCTGAAGTTAACAAAACAAATAATTGCATTGAAGTAAATGTTGTTTGTCATAAAATGACAATTAAAAGATTACATTCAATGTGTGTATATTTGTATATAACCTTATAACGCCAATAGATAAAAACTTGAAACCCCCACTTTATAACACAAATTTTTTAAAATAAAAATCAAACACAATGTTTTACAAATTGTAAATTGAAGTGATAAAAAAAAATTCATAAATGTTTTTAATACAAAACACATTACACTAAATACTGTAGGTTATTTTTTTATATATAACTTCAAATTTCAGTTTGAATTTTTTTTATAGCTATTTAGACAGTAAAATGTTTTTCAGACGATAAACAAAATTGTTAAATTTCATAAATTTTTTTTTTTATAAGAACTCTAAAACAAAATTATCATTTTATCCCTGAGATTGATAATATTTTTGTAATTTTTATATTGTGATGCAGCTCCATCACTAAAATCTAAAATAGAATATGTGTTCAAATTTAGGTAATTGTTTAAGTTTATCAATAATATTATTGATAAAGCAATGAGCAGCATCTGTTCCATGTTTCAGATGATCTGATATAACACAATAACTTTAACTATCAAATTTTCTATCTTTTATAAAATAAACAACAAGGGGTTGCAAAGTTTCCTGGTTGTTATTTTAGTGAAAATCTTGCACTGCATCCTGTATTAGAAAACTATTGATTTCTGCAAAGTCAAGAAGAACTAAAGCTTGTTTTTCTCTTAAATTAGTTTTTAAATTTTGGAAATAGCTGGCTTGGCTTTTTGATATAAAATGATGCTCTCTTAAGTTATCTAACTGTTCATAAACCATTTCAATAAGTTTATCCAAAGGTAAAGGCACTGGTGATATAGTACATTGGAAATTTGATTTTTGCCATTGATAAAAATTAATTTCATTTTTATTTAACAAAGTATCAATTTAATCAGACATAACCTGGAGATTTATCATAGCTATGCAGCATACAATCTCTATTTTCAATGCTACAAACCATTTTTTTCAATAAGCTTTTGTAATCAACAATTCCAGGAATTTCCTGTACAAGGTTCTTTACATTTTGATTGCACTGGAAAACACAAACTGCTTGCAGATCAGTAGCACCACCCAAAGGAACGCACCACTTGGGTCTTAGCTTACAAAATTTTGAAAATTCAGCTTTAAGATAATTATGCTTTTAAACTCGAAGTTTACTGACTTAGCGAAACATACTGACTTAACGAAATTGTTTTTGAATGTGTTGCTTTATATTATCTACTTTAACTGACACAAACTCTTTCTTTTCTAGACCCTTGAATATTCATTGCATTGCACAATCTCTGTAATTAAATCTTTGCTTTGTATCTAACCAATTTTGGAGAATTGATTATGATATTCCACTTTATTTTTTAATTTTCTGGCTTGTACTACAGATCTTTTTGAAGTCAAACAATACCACTGAATTTTTTCTATTGACCAGCTATTTAGAGTGAGTGAAAGAAGTGTGATTTTTTCAGGTTTTCAATTTCACCAAGTTCCACACCTAACACGTTGGCAACAGCCTTTGTGTAAGAGCTCTTATATTATTGATTTTATGCTTTCCATATGCAACTTTACCTTTTTTTGAAACAAATTTGAGAGTTGAACATCTGAAACTTGAAATACTTAAATTAAGATCTTTTAATGTTAGTCAACATAAATTTCTTTTTCTTGGTTCATTTTCTTTTATACAATGATGTTTGCAATGCAGTGGTTTTCTTCAACTAGTACAGATTTTTGACCAGGTATTAAAATAAAATCTTTAGCACTTATAACTGTAAGAGAATCTACATGGTAAAAGATATTATTAAATATTGTTTAACATTCATTTGTTACCAAAATTATTGTTATTAAATTAAAGGTAAATATTGAAAGTCACTTTTCACTTTTTTTGCATGCTGTTTCAGGATTACGACAATACCTTCGATGTTCATTCTCATACCTCAATAAATAAACTTTTTAATGATAATTACAAAAAAAAAATCTATGGGATTTACTTTGCTTCTCAAAAAAAGAAGCTCTTGGTCTAGTTAAAACAGTTCTTTATAACATTTACTTTTTTTAGACTTGGTAAATTTAATAAGATAGCACTGTTCATTTAATGCTTTTATATATATATATATATATATATATATATATATATATATATATATATATATATATATATATATATATATATATATATATATATATATATATATATATATATATATATATATATAAATATATATATATATAAATATATATATATATATATATATAAAAATATATATATATATATATATATATATATATATATATATATATATATATATATATATATATATATATATATATAAGAGCATGAGCAATAAAATGTTGTATAAAACAGACTTGGTGGACTAGGCAAACCGCTTGCCCTAATAGTGCTTGCTCAAGCGATCAGCATTTTTGCAAATTTTTTTGATATTTAGATAAATAAACTTATGGAGGAAATAAAATGAATATGGTTATTGATTAGATTTTTGTAATAGATTTGTTAATTACACTGTATTTGTTAATTACACTGTAGAAAGAGTCACAGAAAAAGGATGAGACTTAATTGAATGATGAGTAACACGAGAATGAATTTTAGTAGATGGCGTAAGAGACACTAGTTCTTTAGAGCAGTGCCCATTATAGTATTTATAGAAAAGAGAAAGAGAAGCAACATTGCGAAAATGTGATAATGGTTGAAGGTTGGCTACAAGAGCAGGTCCAACTATATTTACAATGCATTTTTGTACCTTGTCTAAATGAGAAAAAGTATCATTAGAAGATCTACCCCAGATATGGCAACAGTAATCCATACAAGGCTGAATTTAAGATTTATAGAGATAAAAGTTAGAATCCGGAGTAAGAAAGTGTCGAGCTCGATAAAGAGATGCAACTTAAGCAGATGCTAATTTTGAAACAGATTTGATATATGGTTTTCAAAAAAGATCGGAAGTAAGAGTTAATCCTAGAAGATAAAGGTTAAATGATTTATCGAGTACATTACCGTTCATAAATATAGAAAGGTCTAAATTATTGCGGTACCGATTGGCTGAAAAAAAATTGAGTTTTATCTGAATTAAAGTTCACCAGCCAATGTGAGCCCCATGCTGTAGCAGAAGTGAGATCCTTTTCAACCAATCAGAGGGTGTTGGCTTTTTATCATGACAAGAATAAATGTTAGTATCATCAGCGAACAATGCCACCTTAGATGTGAGAATATCTGGAAGATTGTTAATGTAAATTAAAAGAGTATAGGGCTAAGGATTGAACCTTGAGGAACCCCTGAGGTTACAGAATAAGAAGAAGAGTATTGTCCATTGAAGACAACTTTTTTACTACGATTGAAAAGGAAAGATTCAATAACCTTAAAGATATTTCCAGCTACATCGTAAGAAGAAAGCTTATGGAGAAGACCAGCATGCCAAACTTTATCAAAAGCTTTAAAAATGTTAAGAGCGATGCTTTAGAAATGTCAAGAGCCTTAACATCTTCACCTTTATCTAATGTACGATAAAACCTATCGGTTATTACTGTTAACAAATTAGCAAATTAGTAGAACGAGTAGATCGAAATCTATATTGATGACTAGAAAGTTATTAGATTCAAGATAAGAGATTAGGTGTTTGTTAATTAAAGATTCAAGAAGAAGACTAACGGAATTGTAGTTAGACAAATCAGATCGCTCTCCAGAATTTTTGAAAATAGGTATAACAGCAGGCTGGAAAACAAGACTCTGATAAGCACTTGCTGAATAGTTTTGAAAGTATAGACGACAGCTCTAAAGAACACTTCTGCAAGACTATAACAGGTATGTTGTCCGGACCACAAGCTGTAGAAAAGTCTAAGCAGGAAGTTACTTAAGATACAGAAGAATATTCGATGGATTCAAACCTAGTTTCCTGACAAATGGTTGTATTCTTACAAATGTAAATGTACACTATGCATGTGATTATTGAAGTCTTTATGAATTAAAGAAAGATAACTATCAACACCAAGATCACAAGATGAGACAGCTGAACTCAAATTAGTTTTACACAAAACAAGTAGGTCTGGTGAACTTTTCAAGAGATAAGACTCAACAGAAGAAAAGTTACTTGGAAGACCACGAGTTATAGTGAATGATTTAGAAAGGTTTAGGAAATAGATTCTTCAAAAAAATACCAAAGTTAAAATAGTGACAATTATCAGCTATGATTATTTTTCTGATATTTATTCAATCATTGTAACGTTTTCTAGATAAATTTTTAAAAATGACATAGCATGTTAATTTTAAAAACTTTGTTTTAGTTTAAAATATAAATTTAGTTTAGTTTATATTTAGATCATCTTTTTATTAAAAGAATTATTTTATAATAGATATTTTGTTTTGTGTTGCTTCCTATTTTCAAAAAAGTTAACAAAGTTCATTCATTACTCTTCATATTTGTTAAGTTTTTTTTTAATTTGAAAAGTTTAAAAATTGCATTGAAATAATTCTAAGTAATAAAGCAAATAATTATATGAAAAGACTTTAAACTTAAAAGATAATTAAAATTTGAATAAGTTCGATACTTTTAAAATTGCTATATGTAATTCAAATTTTTACAAAGAAGTTTTTTCTTCTGTTTATAAAAAAAAGATTTTACTCAAGTTATTAAATAAGCATGTTTCTATTATTTAGCATATTAAGTAAAAATGTACCATATATACTCACATATAAGTCAATTATATAATGTCATATATACCTGCATAT